GGAGTGCTATTACAGGAAAATAATCAAGGACGAGGTGGTGTGATGTGGCCCGACACAAAAGTGGAGTTACTTTCTAGTTATTTTCCAACAACTGCACATCCTGAGGTGTTTTATTCGTCTTACACCACAAGAAGTTGCCAAAGGTGGCCAATTTTTATTTATTAAACAATGACGTTTTACATTTCAAGTTAGTTCCTGTTCTCAGTGACATTATAACAGCAGTAAACACTAGTTCCCTCACCAGCATCTCTTTTTTCCTCATTAGAAGTTAATAAGCCAGAAATGCAGCTTGTCATGTTACTGGGAAACAGGATCATTCGAGGTCTTCCAAACTTTCTGAGCTCTTTACTCGTAAACCCACAGCCCACGCTGTGCACCTGCTACGCATTAGTGTCGGCGTCAAAGTGACGTCAGCACTTCCCCTTTAAAGTTCAGAGCGGCGCGGCAGTCGCGCGAGGCGCAGGAATCCTCGCTCGTGCGTCCAACTGTGTGTTGCCAGATTGATCTAAAAACCCGCGCTGTTTCCATCACTCTTATGTAACAGATTGCATCGATATAGCTCATACTCTGTATAAGCATCATGTGAAAATAAAACCACATTCACTACAAGTTAAAAAGAAACCACACAAATCATGTGAAAGAAAATCACGTGAAAATAAATTCATCATGTGGAAAAAATAATCACGTGAAAAACAAACTAAAAAAAAAAACCCACGTGAAAAATTAACTGTGTGAAAAAAAATAAATAAAAATGTGATAATAAAAACACATGCACTACATGTGGAAAAATACAAACATGCACTAGATATAAAAATGTTACATGGCAAAAAAATAACATGAAAATAAATGAATCATGTATAAATATTAATTGTGAAGATAATCATAATAAAGTCAAGTGAAAATAAAAACACATGCAGTACATGCGAAAAAGGGGAAATAAATTAATTGTGTGTAAAAATCACATGTGAAAAGTGAAACATGAAATAAGTGGAAGAAAAAATTAAATGTAAAATGAAAGCAAATAAACAAAAATCATTTGGAAAAAAAATCACATGAAAATAAATGGAACGTTTGTAAAAAAAAAAAAAAAGTGAAAATAAATAACTCATGAAAAAGTCACGTGTGAAAATGAAAACACATGCATTACATGTGGAACAAAAAACTGTGAAAACAAGTCCATCCATCCATCCATCCATCTTCTGTACTGCTTATCCTACACAGGAGGATAAGCGGGGAGCCTGGAGCGTATCCCAGGGCACTTGGGGCACAAGGCAGGGGACACCCTGGAACGGGGTCCCGGCCCATCACAGGGCACAATCACACACACACACACACTACATACAATTTAGAGAATCCAATCTGCCTACAATGCATGTCTTTGGACTGGGGAGGAAACCGGAGTACCCGGAGGAAACCCTCAAAGCACAGGGAGGACATGCAAGCTCCGTGCACACAGGGTGGAGGTGGGGATCGAACCCACAACCCTTCAATCACACAAAAACTCCTATGTGAAAATAGTCATGTGTAAAGATCATATGTGAAAATAAATGAATCATGGGAGAAAAACACTGTAAAACTATAACATATGAAGTGTCTAAGAACCACATGTGTAAAGTTTAGATCTGAACATCACATTATTAGTATTAGCATGAATTTGCTGGAAATGGAAATGGACGTTTTAAATCAACCTGGCAACCTGGTATCGTCTGACAATCTAAGCTCTTGTAAGACAGAAGCTGAAGTGTGTGCGCGCGCGTGTGTGCGTGCGTGAGAGAGAGATAGAGAGGAGGAATGCCCAGCTTCTGAAGAGAAACCCTGTCACACCTGGGAGACAGCTGAAGGTAGACTTTGTTTAAGGTATTATATGTTATAATAAATATAAAACCACAGAAGAAGCGCGTTTGGTTCTAAAAGAAACAGAGCTCGCGTTTGTGTTTATTCCTGTGTATGCTGCACCGAACTGCGCTCGTGCGGAGGATAATCACTCACACACCCCAGGCACTGATACTTACCTGAGTGTGGTGTAGTCCTAACGCTAACACTGCACTGCGGGGTCTCTTTCTTTTCTTTTCTTTTCATTTCATTTCACGGTTGTGTCATCGAGACGGTAAAATTGCGCGTGCACACGCATACAGGGGGCTGCTGCAGTCACGTGACCTGCTTGGACTTTGCTTTCTGTTCATGTCTTAATCTGCACGTTTGCACTCATCAACCTCAGCAAGCTAGTGTGGTAATGGTTGTGCATTAATCTGCCCCCCTGATGCCCCATCTGTCCTGCTCTAACAGACTGAAAAGTGCCCCAGATTGCAGCTGTAACAGATGTGAACTGATGCTGATGTTAGTCTGGGTGTCATAGGATCCTGTTTGTATATAGAGACATCATGCCTTCTGCATTAGTCTACCAGGACTACCAGGATAAAGTGCTTACTGAAATGAATGCATAAATGAATATAATATTATGTAATATCTATATTATCATCTACTGTAAAATCTCAGAAATTTATTAGTATATCTTGTTGAAAAATGTGTTGAGCCATCTTAACATTAAAGTTAAGGTGTGTTACAACTTTATTACAGTTCTGCAAAGACATGTTGTAGAACATTTCATTATTTTCTTTATTATATATATTTTATAGGTTTTTCAAAGAGCAGTCTGAATAGAAATGCTTGCATATTTTAAAAGTACTTTTTTTTCCTGTACAGTGATTACAGATTACGCTGTTATCTGATTATATTGTATGATGTACAGCAGTATTCAACATGCACAATATTGTAATCACAGACAGAACAGAAAATCATCGCTGTACCAGTGTTTCATTTGGCAGGAGGCTGCCTGGGTTTGGCAGGATTCTTCTCACAGTGGTCTTTCGAGATAAAGATTGTCGACTTTGGAAGACAGCTATCTTCTATATTTCTTTATTTTCCTTGTTCTGAGAGAATGTAATCCTATAATTCTGTAAACCTGATGAGAGTACCAAGAAATTATTGGCTAGTGATAAACTGTGGAAAAGACAGTGCTGTGAAATTCAGCGCAGGTGCCATTTTATGAAACCGTGGCATGCACAAATGCTTGTACTGCTCCTTTTTCTTTTACAGCTGAACTGCGGTGATGGATCTAAACGTGTTGAACATGTTCGTCATCGCTGGAGGCACTCTTGCAATCCCCATTTTAGCTTTTGTGGCTTCTTTTCTGCTTTGGCCTGCAGCACTTATCAAGATTTATTACTGGTGAGTGTGATGGAGAGTCCTCCATCTCTTTTTCACTTAAAAGTTATAGTTTGTAGTTCACTTAGGCCCACTGAATGATTTTCTTCTCGATAAAATTGCATTGTACCGCAGCACCGTTAGATTCTGATTAGTCAGGAGGTGTTGATTAATTTTCTATAACAACGGCTCTGACCATAGTTCCGGCTGCAAGACAAATCACAGGCTTATATTAATGTGTCATTGTTTCTGTAGTAACAACTAATTCACATTTATTTAGCATGTGTGGAATGAGTCTCTAGTGTCAGTGCTAGAGAACAAAAGAGGTAAATGACTGTTTGTAGCTGTTTCTTGGACATTCAGAAGCATTAAATGTAACCATCGACATTCCTTAATAAATAAAGAAAAGTTGGTGTGTTATAAAACACTATGGAAAAAGTGCTGTTAAAAGTAAAAAAAAGTAAAAAAAAAAAAAAAAAAAAAGGGTAAAAATAACTCCACTCTGCACTGAGCAGGGTCACGCCACCCGTCACTGACTGCTTTCCCATAACAGCACACTCCCAAGTGTTACACACTGCACAAGAGCAGCGGTAATATTTTGAAGCTTTCTGCCACTTATAATCTCACTGTACATAACATTCTTAAATTCCTTCTGTATTCTGTATAAACTACGAGTGAACTCAGTGTTTGTCATGTGCCCTTTGCTCTTCATCCCGCAGACTTGTGCTTGTCATCTCTGTCTAGTCTTTACCTCTTGTTATTGTGACATTCGAAAATTCACGGCCATGCTGCAGTCTAAATCTAACGTCTTCTACAGACTGTAGAATGCTGGGAGAACCTTTTATTTCATTTCACTCTCTTATCTTTTGATAAAGATCAGGGAAGGTACCTTTAACACTGCTTATCTTTGGCCTCATGGAACAGAAGTGGGTGAAAGGTGATACAGTCAATGGTGACAGATTCCTGTGTGGGATAAGAGAATTTTATGGAATAAGTATTTTTAAGGGTGAAGTATGTATGTACATATGCATGTATGTATATATATATATATATATATATATATATATATATATATATATATATATATATATATATATATACAATGTGTGTGTGTGTGTTAACAGGTTGCATGTACTGCATGTATATTTCACTGACCCCCTCATACAGTTTTAATTTATGAAATATTTAAATATGAGGCATGTTTTCAAATGCGTACCATAACATTCTGTCTATTTATTGGAGTGCTAGTATATTCTCGAACTTTCCAGTGACAGAGCAGGTACAATTTGACATTATTTACAGCCCAAATTTAGTTATTGAGATTTGACACATTTAATTAGTAAAGCAGGCTAATAACTCAATAATAAATATAATAGGTTTTATAATGGTGGCTTGTGATTTCCACCACTGTAACAAGACCCCCTCAGTACGCTTCATGGACCCAAGGACTACTGCTGTATAATAGTAATGCACATAAGGTCAAGCACTTGCTTAAAAAAAAAAAAATGCATTCCTGATTTAAAAGTACAATAATTTTGTAACTGGCAAACTAGGTTAAGCTAACTGTAGAATTGCAAATAGATACAAATCTCCATATTAAAATGGTTTTATTTTCTTTTAAATAAGAATGGCTTTTTTAGTTCACTGTTTAAAAGTCTTTTTTAAATAACAATTTAAACTGAAGCCAACTGCTGCTTTGGGTTAATAAATGTACCCAAAAGTGAACAGTTACAATTTTGTTAAACTGGTACTGAAATTTAATTTATTTACCAGGAGTAATGTTCCTGTCCCTGGGGTCCCTGGAGGATTAGTGGTTAGGCCACAGCGCTCTCACCACTGTAGCCCGGGTTTGATCCCTGGCCAGGGCTCCATCCCCAGCTACGGTGCTCTCAGTGACGGTCCCAAGCCCGGATAAAATTGGGGAGGGTTGCATCAGGAAGGGCATCCGACATTAAAAACTGTGCCAAACGATCACCAATGATCCACTACTTCGCAGAACTACTACTATTAGAACTAAAACTTTGTGGATTTTATTTGTCCTCTGATATGTAAATATGAACAATATTCCAATAGTAAAATCACTGATCAGCTCATGCTAAAGGAGGCCCACATGGCAGGCTATTTTAAGGACATGGTAAAGTCCCTGTGGATTTGGTTAAATATTTCAGCTGAATGTTGTGTAATCTGCACAGGGGATGGCGTAATTACACAGAAGCCTTGCAAGTCACCACAACCCTGTCAGGGCTGATGCACAGCTACAAGGACATTCAGCTCCTGGAACCATTTCAGTCATAAATTAGGACACCTCTCTTATTCTAACCTGACCTCTTTCTATTTATTAATGTAAGGTAAATAAACCACAGGACTTTTATTTCTGGTGCACTTTTACTTACAGAAGGAGCAGAGTGATGAGATTATTTTGACTCCTTTTACTGCAGCATTTTTGTGCGTGAGCGTTTTTTTCGCACTACAAAGCAGTTTCGTGCCTTGAAGCAGATGCAGCAAAGCGACGTGCATGTTATAATTTTGGCATAATGTTTTCTGCCTATTTGTAGAATGCATAAATACAAATATCTATACGTACTGATACATAAAGTGTAATCCTGCTCTTCAACCGTTATCCTGCTCAGCATCAAACTGAAGAATATTTACATTTTTGTTTCATAAGTACAGACATTATAAATGCATCCAGAGAGGTTTAATAGTGCTTTTTTTAAGGTCTAATTATCTTGATTTAAAGGTAAAACATCCTCTTGGTCATCTAGCTTTAGGTATAGAAGTTATACCTAAGAAGCTATGGCTGAGAGATGTGCAGCAGTGAAGATGAAACATTGTCTATATGCAAGTTGTTATTAGATGTTAGATTTGATTTTATTTGCCTATTATTTGTCATTTCTTGATCTCAAGAATTGTGTTTTGAATAAAGGTTCATTATTCATTAATATTAATGTAACGTGAATAGATTTCTCTAAGGAGAAATCAACACAATACTTATGTGTAATAAGAATTTCTACAACTAATCCTAAATCTAAACTTAACATCAGTAACAACAAAGAGATGTTTTTACTCTTTCACTTTTTTCACTTTTTTTGCTGGTCCAGACAAACTAGGTTACTCTTGTTCTTTTTTGTCCTGAGAATGAAAAAACACAAATCAGGTGCATCGGGTAGCATCGCTGCCTTACAGCTTCATGGTCCCTGGTTCGATCCTGAGCTTGGGTTACTGTCTGTGGGGACTTGTGCATTTTCAAGACCACTTGTATGGTCTCCTCCAGGTTTATCCCACCTCCCAAAAACATGTCAGTAGGTGGACTGGTTACTCTAAATTATGCCTTGGTGTGAGTGTGATGCCCTGTGATGGACTGGTGTCTCATCCAGGGTGTATTTCTTCATAAAGTCCAGTGTTCCCAGGATAGGCTCCAGATCCACTGCAGCCCTGACCAGGATAAGCAGAATTACTTACTGAAGATGAAAGAATGAATGGAAAAAAACCCCCACACATTCACATCTAGGGACATTCCAGCATGTTTTGGAAGGATCAAACCCTGAACTCTAAAGCTGGGATGCACCAAAACCTGTCCAACATGTACACTATATGGCCAAATGTATGTGGACACCTAATTATCACAATCAAATGTGCTTGTTGAACATCTCATTCCAGAGTTTGTCCCCCCATTACTGCTATAACAGCCTCCACTCTTTTAATAGAGGCTATATAAGTCTTTCCACTAGATTTTGGAGCGTGGCTGTGGGGATTTGTGATCATTCAGCCACAAGAGCATTAGTGAGGTCAGGCACTGATGTCAGGCGAGGAGACCTGGTGTGCAGTCGGCGTTCCAGTTCATCCCGAAGGTGTTCAGTGGGGTTGAGGTCACTGCTCTGTGCAGGCAACTCGAGTTCTTCCACTCCAACCTTGGCAAACCAAGTCTTCATGGAACTCGCTTTGTGCACAGGGGATATTGTCATGAGTGAACAGGTTTGGGCTAGGCTGCTTAGATCCAGTGAAGGGAGAAGTCTTAAAGCTACAGCATAGAAACACATCCTATACAATTGTGTGTTTCCAGGTTTGTGGCAACAATTTGGGGGAGGATCACACATGGGTTTGATGGTCAGGTGCCTGCATACTTTTGGCCATATCATGTATTTACAAAAAAAATCTTCTTTTTTGGCTTAACAAAAATGTAATGTTGTTTCTATTTGACAGGTATTGGAGGAGGAGACTGGGGCTGCAGGTGGATTATGCAGAGCATGATGGATATCGCTTCTGTTATACACACCGTGGGAAGCCTGGGAGTCGGCCTTCTATACTCATGCTTCATGGCTTTTCTGCTCACAAAGACATGTGGCTGGGTGTGGTGAAGGTTTGGGCTTCAACTCATCCTACTTAAACAAGTCTGTTTGTACTTTACAGTGTTTGATGGGATAATGCAGACACGTGATTATGCAGATGATGTTTATTTTCAATTGCGCAGTGAAAAAAAGAGATTTGTTGACAAGACACATTTTAAATTTTCAGTTCTTTCCAACCAATGTGCATCTGGTGTGTGTTGACATGCCTGGCCACGAGGGCACTACACGCACTAGTGCGGTGGACTACTCCATTGAGGGCCAGGTCAAAAGGATACATCAGGTATTGTTTATTATCATGTCTGAATGTCCATATACTCACGATTTCTCATTTTTTATCTTCATAAGCACAGATCAAATTCCATATGAGTGTGTGGAAATATCTATTAGAGCCAGAAAAGATAATTGATTCTTGGATGCACTGTGATTCTCTCTTGAAAGATTCTGCATCAATGCACATCATAACCAGCACGTCAGGCTTTAAACGTTTACATCGAACCACAACAATACCACACATTTCTAATGAAAGATAAACTCTACATTATGCCTTATGCTTTCCATGATGGATTGGATGTGATATTATATATTAAAATCATTGAAAAGAAATAATGTAGACTACAGAAAACAAAAACCCACAAGAATCATCACATCCTGGATCGAGTAAGGAATAAAACACTTTGGCTATGCTATTATAGCATATAAAATATTGTAACTGGTGCCAAATTGGTGTGCTATAAGAGTTGAGATGTGCTGTTATTGGAAAAGAATCAACTTTCACACAGTAACAGGAATTTTCGCTTTGTGTCAGGCCTCATCACACTATTCCATCATTGCTTATTTTCATAGATTAAGTCATGTCATAATTCATAATTTCATACATAAGTCATCAATAAGTAATGAAATACAGTGAGTGAGTTTCATACAGTGAGTCAAATGAAAACCCTAATTTTTTAAAAAAAATTATTTTGCAGTGTTTATTGCAAATTGGTATAATTTTTAAAATCTTGTAAATTTAATGTTAAACATGACTTATAATCTGTTTTTCTAATTTCACACTTTTACGCTTTTCCTTTTACTCACTCTCATATGAAATGAACCAAATTTTGGGATAGTGTGATTTAATCAATAATGGAATATTGGCTCCAACGATCCGTAAATGGTTTTCATTTTTCAGTACTACATTTAGTCTACATTTAGTTACATCTAAGTTGCTGCTTGTTATATGCTGCTAAAAATTCAAACTCCTTCACTGATCTTCAGTTTTTGTTATGCTGGTCAGTGTGGCAGTGGATCATGGGAACACTGGGCGTGGGACGGGAATGCGTCAGTCCATCATAGGGCGCTCTTAGCTATACTGCTGTACTTATTTTAACCAGATAAGTGTGTAATCACCGAGCATTTTTTACTGGAATGTTAATATTAGCCACTGCGGTTGTATCAGACAGAAACCACTGTGTAATTTTAGTGTCTTGCTTTTAGCTCCTACTGAGTGCTCACACTAATACGCCTCTCCAAAATCATGTGCCTAAAATAGATGCCCTTGTTGAGGCCTGAGGCTTTTTTTTTTCATCACTGTGTCTGTGTCCTTGTGTTACACACAAACTCTGTGATGTCTGTCTCTTTCCACACTGCGGAAGCCTGTGTATGAGGAAGAGAAACTTCAACTACCCGATTTAAATTTATGTATGAGTCTCACTTGTCCTGAATATTAAGATTGCCTGATGCAGCGTTAATAATAAAATTAACTTTTAATTTCTGTGAATTTTTTTCATCCCCAAATCTGATATTTTAACATGTAAACCTGTAGATTGTGTGCAGTTGAAATCTGAAATGTTTTACAATGCAGAATGAGCCTGACCTTTATTCCTAGCAGTAATCTGCTTGCAACATCAGCTTTATTGTATTTGCTTTGCTTTATTGTATTGTATTTGCTTGCATTTCTTACATTTTGCTCACTCTGCAGTTTGTAGAAAGCATCCAACTGAATAAGAAGCCTTTTCACCTGGTGGGCACATCCATGGGTGGTTGTGTAGCTGGGGTTTATGCTGCTCGCTATCCCTCAGATCTCTCCAGTCTCACACTGATCTGTCCTGCTGGTTAGTATCACCTGATACCGATGCTGATCTGATGCTAATGTATCCATTTACTCAGTTATGTAAAACACAGACATGATGGCAGCGTGTTGGAAGACTCTCTGTGTTGTGCTGGTTACCATTCAGCTCAATTTTATTTGTATACTGCTATTAACAATAGACATTATCACAAAGCAGCGTTACAGAAATCCGGATGTAGACTTAGATCCCTAATGAACAACCTAGAAGAGACAATGACAAGGAACATCTCACTGAGACGACATGAGGAAGAAACATTAAGAGGAATCAGACTCAAAAGGGAACCTATTCTGGGTGTATAAACATTACAGTATACAGGTGTAGAAGAGAAAAGGAAAACAGTACTAAGTGTGTTGAACTGGCTGATATGTCAGATTTGATCTGATACCAGTCCAGGTTTTTCAGGGAGAT